CTGTTTCCGATTCTGTGTCTCCCTCTCTCTCTGCCCCTCCCCTGTTCACGCTCTGTCTCTCTCTGTCCCAAAAATAAATAAACGTTGGAAAAAAAAAATTAAAAAAAAAATAAATAAATAAAGGTCTTTCCTTCTTTAGCCTTTCTGAGCTAGATTAGATTCAATGAAGTCAAGAGGCAGAGGGTCAGAGAAGTCAATTTTTGGGTTTTTTCTTAGCGCAAGATTCAGATGAAACGTTACTCCTTTTCCAGATTGAAAGGTTGCATTTGTGTAAGCTATCTATTGCTACATAACAAATTATCATAAACTTAGTGGTTTAAAACAACATCCATTTATCACCTTACTGTTCCATCATAAATCCAGGAAGCCTTGATCATCTTCTCTGCTTAGGGTCTCACAGAGCCAAAGTCGAGGAAGGTGTTGACTGAGCTGAAATCTTAAGAGGTTTTGAGGAAACAAACACTTCCAAGTTCATTTAGGCTGTTGGCAGAAGTCAGTTCCTTGTAGTTGTAGGACTGAGGTCCCCATTTCCTTGCTGGCTCCTGTTTAGGGGGTCAATTTCAGCTCGCAGAGGCCACCTTTCAGTCCTTGCCTGTGGTCCCCTAGGTCTTCAAAGCCAGCAATGGCACCTTGAATCCTCAAATCTCCCGTTTCTCTTTCTGCCACCAGACTAAGAAAACTCTTTGCTTTTAAGGGTTCATGTGATTAGATCATCTATCTCACACAGATAATCTATCTCAGTCAACTGTGCCATGTTAATGTAACAAAACCACACGCATCATATCCCATCAAATTCACAGGTTCTGAGGATTCAAGCAGGACGTATTTAGGGGAGTCATTAAAAAAATCCTGCCTACCTCAGCACTTATTCAAAAGATGAAAGGAAAGAATCTCTTACGGGGTAAGGGGACAAAGAAAGTGGGAACAAACTATCTAACCATTCACGCTAATAAGAGAAGCCAAGCATTTGAGAGGAGAGAGGTCTGACCTCATCCTTGTATTCTACCCATCATGCCTTCTGCCATTTCTAAGGTTGCTAGTTTGATCACAATATACTTCCTAACATTCACAGTACCTGGAGCTAAATCCTCAAAAATAAAAACATTTTAAAGAATGCTTGGGGACTAAAAAAATCACCTTGTATTTTAATTTTTCCTCATCAAACAGTGAGAACACCAAGCCGTCCAAGAGTGTGTCCTAAGAATTCATGTTGGAAAATGCATGATAATTTTAGATATGACTCAATAAAGACAATTTCTTTGCTCAAAAAGAGGATGAGGACAATATAATCTCCTCACCAGTGTGATGCTACTCCTCTCCCTTTTTCTATTTCAGAATTCAACCTGAATATTCTTTCACCTCATTTCTCTTCAAAGGATGTAAGACACAGAGCAGTCTCTAGGTTCCTGGACACCAACTTATGCTAAATTATCAGTGTTGTTCCTGAATACGTATCTCATCCTGGTGACCTGACAAAGCCTTAAATTAATAAATCCATCTGGAAAGGGAGGCTGAAACAGGGTTACTCATTATTGCTGTTTAGCATTTAGAGGATCTCCAAAGGACATCTTCCTCCCTAAATGGCATTCTTCCCCTGGTTCTGAAGAAATGCAAAGGACTCTTGAAAAAACTAAGGCAGAAGAGGGAAGCAAGCCTCGCTATCTTCAGCATCCCTGGGTTCTCTCTCAGATGCATTATGGCTAGACTTTATAAATTTTGGATAGTCAGTTCCCTTTTCTATGCCAACCATAGAAAAGGGAGAAGCTATCTCCAAAATGCCTGTGATATGCCCTGAGGTCCATGGGGAATGAGAAAGCAAATAATAATTATATATTAAATTTTGAAGGTACCATCCTTTCCTTTTCTTGGACCTGTGTCTATGCACATAATTCCTGAGATGAACATTATTATCCCTATTCAATAGATGAGGAGAAACTGAGGTCCTAGAAAGTTACTGGGTAGTGATCTGTCTAACATCACAGTGGCCATGGTAGAAGAGAGATTAGAACATTTCCCAATATACCTGAAACTAATTTAACACTGTGGTCCACTATACTTTAATTTTTTTATGTTTATTTATTTCTGAAGGAGAGAAAGAGCGTGAACAGGGGAGGGGCAGAGAGAGAGGGAGACACAGAATCTGAAGCAGGCTCCAGACTCTGAGCTGCCAGTACAGAGCCTGATGTGGGGCTTGAACTCACAGCCATGAGTTCATGACCTGAGCCGAAGTCATGCTTAACTGAGCCACCTAGGTGCCCCCAATATACTTTAAAAAAATATCTGATTTCAAATCATGGGCTCTTTCTAAACTACAAGGGCAAGAAGAAAACTTTCATTACAGGGGCACTTGGGTGGCTCAGTCGGTTAAGTGTCTGACTTCGGCTCAGGTCATGATCTCATGGCTCATGAGCCCCAGGTTGGGATCTGTGCTGACAGCTCAGAGCCTGGAGCCTGCTTCGGATTCTGTGTCCCTCTCTCTCTCTCTCTCTCTCTCTGCCCCTCCCCCACTCACACTCTGTCTCTCCCTCTCTCTCAAGAATAAACATTAACAATTTTTTTGAGAGAGAAAAAAAAAAGCTTTCATTACATAATGTGATCAAAGTTGGAAAGATCTCTAGGAAATTTGCTGTTGGACCCTCTACTGAAACATAGCACTCCTCTTCTCCAGGTTATTAGTAGCTTTGGCTGCCAGCAAATTATCTCCTGGGGCTTGAAAAAGAGAGGTTGCCTTGACTCCTCCCGAAGAAATTTGCTTCCAAGCTTCTTGCAACACCATCTCATCATTCACCTCAGCGAGAACAAAAACACAAGGCCACTAAACCTTGAGTTCTCCAAGCACCTAAGCTGATAAGGGATTAGCTAGAATCCATCCCAAAGAAAGGGCCAAGGAGAGAAAGAAAACAGGATACTGGATGACTCAGAAAGGGGATGGGCAGCGGACCTACCAGACATACAAATTCAAGACCAAAAGAGAGGTCTATTCCTCATCTCAAAATATGTAGATACCTTCCACCAACTCTTGGCTCGAGCTGTTCTGGTGAAAGCCCCACTTAGAGCCCCACAGCCCACAATAGACTTAGCTGGGAACAGTATAGCAATCTGGAAGCAAACCGTGGATAGGATCCCTCTCAACCCTTGATCACAACAGCAAAAGGACAAGGGTGAAAGATTTTGGATGACCTGCTTTCTGAGAATGTTTACTCTGGGGTTAAGTCTCTACCCTGGGCTTTAATTTTATAGTCCTCAATTAAACCAAAAGAAAAACTGTTGTGGTCGTTCACATTATCACGAAAGGACTTTAACCCAGTTACTTGAAGCGTGCGTTGTGTATCTAAAAGTGTATCCAGCCTTTAGAAAATACAATTCTTGGGGCACCTGGGTGGCTCAGTTGGTTGAGCGTCCGACTTCAGCTCAGGTCATGAACTCGCGGACTGTGAGTTTGAGCCCTGCGTCAGGCTCTGTGCTGACAGCTCGGAGCCTGAAGCCTGCTTCAGATTCTGCGTGTGTGTGTCTCTCTCTCTCTGCCCCTCCCCTGCTCATGCTGTCTCTCAAAAATAAATGTTAAAAAAAATGAAAAAAAAATACAATTCTTTACTTTTTACTAACCTCACTGTCCAAAGTCCCTCTCGAGGGGATTTTTAAGGGAAAAGGTTTACTTTGTTTATTCTGCCCTTTCCTTCATGCTTGGGAAAATAAGTCACTGGCAACACTGGGCTTGGGGAGTCCCACAAGATCGAGTATGGTAGTCTGACACCCTGATTAGATGTGATCCTTGCTCTAGCTCCAGCTCAGCTACTGAATGTTCCTGAGAATCCTTTGACTTTTCAAAGTCTCAGTTTCCTCATTTTTGAAGTGAGGTGGATGCGTGAGATGACCAAGTAAAAAATTTGACAAAGATATTACTGAGAGGGGTGCCTGGGTGACTCAGTCCGCTGTGCATTTGACTTTGGCGCAGGTCATGATCTCACATGAGTTCAATCCCTGCATTGGGCTCTACGCTGACAGCTCAAGAGCTTGGAGCCTGCTTCGGATTTTGTCTCCCTCTTCCTCTGCCTCTCCCTCGCTCGTGCTCTCTCTCTCTCTCAAAAATAAACAAACATTAAAAAAAAATATATTGCTGAGATACATCATGCTAAATACTATTAGGGATACAAAATGAACATGACATAGTCCCTTAAAAAAACCGACAGTCTAACTTGGAAGATAAAGGACACACATGTACATAGCAAATCCACAATTTACACAGACCCTAAGCATTATAAAGGATACAACATGATCTACAGTCCTTTGAGTTAATGCTCATTTGACTGATGGTAGATGGAAACCAGATGAAAGTTTCATGGAGTAAGAGGTAGCATTTAAACTCAGTCTTTAAAGACAACAGTTTGAAAAAGAGGAAAGTGAGCAAAGATTCAGGAAAAAGAAAGCAGAGATGGCCAAAGGGCAAGGCGAGAAGATAAGGACAGGAAAGAGGGAAAGTATTTAAAAAATGACAATACCACTTTGGGTAGAGTATGGGAATAATAAAAGATAAAGCCAAGAAAGCTGAGGGCAGACTGTTATTGAATTGGTAAATGACAAAAACTAGTCTTATACTTAAGAATTAACCTGGCAGTGGTGGGCAGAAGTAAATGCTAGAGGGAAGAGACTAGAGGCAGAAGGCCAGTTAAAAGGTTACTGCAATAGACCAAGTGGGTGGCAAGGAGGCCCTGAGCCAGGATAGTAGCAGTGGCAACAGAGAGCCCATTAGTCAAAATATTAAGCCACTGCTGTTCGTTTCTACTGACCCAGTCCTCCAAGGTAACAGGCCATCCCCGGTGAAAATTATTAAAAAAGGAGTGCTAATTTGAATAAAGCTTTCCTGACACAGAGAATAAAGAACAAATGAGCCCAGACTCCTGGTGAACTTAGAACTGTCACCACCCTCCAGGCCTTACACTCTCACCAAGGCACTCAGCCAACTAAGGAGAACAAATATACACAGGAGACACAAGAAAAGATCTTATTAATACAGTATTTATTTGTCTTCCCTCTGTCAAACCCTGAGCCAACCACTTTCCCCAGGCTGCCTGGGGAGGTATAGGAAAAGGAACATACAGGGCAGACGTGACACGGGAAAAAGACCTATGGGAGGTGGAGACGGCTCCTTCACATGGCGAAGAGGATGAGAAAGGCCACCATCAGGCAAAATAGCCCCATGGCCTCCGAGAGGGCAAAGCCCAGAATGGCGTAGGAGAAGAGCTGCTGCTTCAGAGAGGGGTTCCTGGGAGAAGGGGAGGAGAAAAGACTGAATTTCTAGTCCACACAAAGAAAAAGATAAACATCAAAGGTGGGCTCGGGGAAAATTCATCTCCTCAAGCTCATCTTATGTAATGAGTCTCTCATGGTGGCACCATCAGGCCCCAATTCCTGCCGGATCCATCAAGGGCTCTACAGAGACTGAATGTTGGGAGTGGACAATCCAAAATTCTTTAACATGGCCCAGGTACAAACATAACCTCCTCTAGTGGATCGCCCATAGCATAACTTATGGCCTCTGGGCCTGGACCTTTAACTATCCAGGGCTCAACCAGGATGGAACAGGTATCCAGAGTGGCAGAATCTATCAGAGCACTGCTCTGAAACTTGAAGGAGCAGAACCCCAAATAAAAAAATGTATAAAAGCCGAACTACAATGTTAAAAAAGTGGGGGATTTTAAAGGCTTGGTCTCCTCTTTATTCTTTAGATGGTCTTTGGGTATACTTCAGAACTCTATGGCCTGATGAAACACAACCAGAAAAACCCTCTACAATGGGGTTTTTCTAGTGGTGTTCCATAAAGCCAGGGGACACACTACCTTCTTTCACTTCAAATTAGTTAAAGATTTTGGGCTTTAAGAAATGTGGGGGGAAGGGGGGGTGCCTGTGTGGCTCAATCGGTTGAGTGTCTTGACTCTTGATTTCGGTCATGATCTCACGGTTGGTGGGACTGAACCCCGAGTCCAGCTCTGTGCTGCTGGTGTGGAGCCCACATGGGATTCTCTCCCTCTCTGTCCCTCCCCTGCTTGTGTGTGCACATACGCTCTCTCTCAAAATAAACT